AAAGAAAAATATTGATTCCTTAGTGAGCAAGAAGCGATATACGTTATATCATATTTAATCCAAATACAACAATACAAATATTTACATGTATTTCAATAGTATATTGGCAAAGCTAAACACACATAAAATCTGAATAACTTTATAACATTGGAATCAAATCTTGAAAAATCGTGACATTAAATTAAACCAAGAAGAAATAAATGTTACCTCTTATGAAGATTAAACCACGAAAAACAATGCCTAAAAATCTACTGATTTCCCAAAAATATTAATAATAGAAGACTTTTGGATCCGTGAACTTGAAGCCGTCAAAAACTACAACTCAATTCCTTTTTTTCAAATTTCCATGTGCTTTTCTTGTTTTTGTTTCGGTAATCTCTGAGTCCTATTTGTGTGTTGTGTTGTATATATATAGGAGAGGTTTTTTTTTTCTGCAGATACGTGGGCGTATGGGTCTCCCCTTTTTTATGGATTCCTCTTTTTTTATTTTTTAGTCGTGTGTGTGTATAGGGGTGACTGTTTGTGTTGCTGATGGTTTCGTGGGGATGTGGTAGGATAGGGGTGAGTATATTGGGTTTGTAGGGTATGGGAAGTTGAGAGGAAGTGGGAGTATAACTTACTGATGGTTTCTTTTCTTTTCTTATTTATTTATTATTATTATTATTTATTTTTAATTTTGAAAATAAGTCAAAAGCTGTTTTTTTTTGTTCTCCTTTTCCTTCTTTGTTTTTGTTTTCTACGTGTAGTATGTTTTGGATAGGAGTAGGAGTGGGGTGGGTTTGTTAGATTATTTAGGTTATTTTTTATTTTAGTTTTAGTTTTAGTTTTATTCTACTTTTAAAAGAATAATAATTAATTACAAATAATAAATTATAATAACATATCAACTAATTATTTAAAATTAATAAAAATCTAAGAAAAAGTCAACTAGCTATGTATAAAAAAAAACAATTAAATAATACTAGCTTATTTATAAAAACTTAATTTCAAAAATAATATAGATTTTTTGTAATCTTTCATTTCTTTTTAAACAATTGAAAATAAAACTTACCTTAAAAAGGGATTCTAATTTTGTTGCTTTCAAATCTTTTAAAATAAACTCAATAAAATAAGAGAAAAGTCAAAATATTTAATTTATATTTATAAAAATATTTCAGCTCTAAAAATGGTGTAAAATTTTAAGTTCGGTCAAAAATTACATGTCTATAGTTTGCCCTTCTTTGACTGGAAACACAAAGAGTTTACAGACAAAGAAGTAGACAATGTGACAAGTTTTGACCGGACTCTTATTCGAAAAGAAAAATATGCAACCGAGTCCTAGTTTTGGACATCCTACATATCTCGGGCTATAAGGGAATCAGGTCACGTGTAGTTCAAGGAGATGAAATGATGAGTTGGAAGTCAAGTGAGGTCCTCTTGAGGCTCCAGTTCGCGACTCCTATTGTTACATGAATATAAAAGATGAAAAATTTAAAGGAAATACAAGTACACGACCCTATCTATGTGGCTTCTCTTGAACCTTGACTTGAGTCTTCGTCCTTCTTGAGTTATTAGATATTGATTTTCATCTCAAATGAGTTCAAAGGTAAACATCTTTCTCCAGGTAGGTTCCTTTGACTGTTTTCTTTTTTTAGAATGAGCTCCTGCTTCTTCAATTGAAATTGAGCTTGAAAATTATACTCTTTTCCATCCAAGATCCTAAAGTGGAAATGTGGATTGACCCCATTCTATCACTAGATTCCTGAAATTAAAACAAACAAAAATAATAACACAAAATTTTACCCCAGTTTATATATAAGAAAATTTGTGAGAGAAATAAAAGATGGTGCTTAGCTTTTAATCGAGACTTTGAACGATTTGAGCTTTGTCGCGATGTACTCTTCAGAGGGCTTATCCATGTTTACACCAACTCCATTCTTCATGATGAACTGGTTAAATCCAGGAGGGTCCTTGCTATACTACGTCCCCTTGTTTAGGAGGGTCTTTGCTATACTACGTCCTATTATTCAAGAGGGTCCTTGCTACACTACGTCCCGTTGTTCAGGAGGGTCCTTGCTACACTACGTCCCATTGTTCAGGAGGGTCCTTGCTATATACTACGTCCCATTATTCAGGAGGGTCCTTGTTACACTATGTCCCATTGTTCAGGAGGGTCCTTGATACACTACGTCCCATTGTTCATTAGGGTCTTTGCTACACTGCATCCCATTATTCAGGAGGATCCTTGCTACACTACATCCCATTGTTCATGAGGGTCCTTGCTATATACTACGTCCCATTATTCAGGAGACTATGTCCCATTGTTCAGGAGGGTCCTTGCTACACTAAGTCCCATAGACTAATAAGACAAATAAAACACTTACCCAATATGGACTATAATTTTTGTGCAATGTTGCTATTTAGCACTTCGTAGACTGAATTGAACATCTAGGTTTTTGGATCTTTGATCTCGAAATAACTTGTGCCCCTACTTCAACAAAGAAAATTTGTGAGTTTAAAAATGTGGTGGTTGGTTTGTGGTTTTGCCTTTCGACGAGGATTGCTAGCACCTGTCATGTTTTACTTATTTCTAAATGGCCAGTGCTCGTCATTGATTGACTGTATTTTACCCAAATTTGCTTACTTTGAGGGACTTAAATCTCATATGTGCCTTCGTTTCACGCTACTTATTGTTTAGCCTTCATTAAATCATGGACTTTTCTGAATCCAAAACTCATCGACAAATGATAACTCATTGGCCTGATGTTTTGCCTTGTACAAATCCAGAGTTGGTTGCAAGTCTTGAAATCCTTTCTCGCCTTCTTGACACAGACTCAACTCAAGGACATATGAAGCAAAGTGATGAAAAGTGGAAGAAAAATATATACTACACAAGAATAAAAGAAATGGTTCGAAGAAGAATCTCTTTTAGAGAGGGGAAGAAAGAAAACTTATCTGAGTGTGGTAGCCGACTCTACTGATCATGACATGCAATTTGAATTGATTACCCGATTTGTCCATCAAATTATTCATCAACCATTATTGATCCTCTAAATTTTTATGTGGGGTCTCAACCTTTACTGAAGTCATAACCAATTTCAAACCCTTATTCGCCTTATGATGTCCATGAGGGTTTTTGCCACTAAGACTCTTTCATTTTGATTCCTTCAACTCACATTCGCCTTATGGTGCCCGTTAGGGTTTTCACCAACAAAACTCTCTCATTTCTCTCAACTCACATTCGCCTTATGGTGCCCGTTAGGGTTTTCACCAATAAGACTCTCTCATTTTTTTATTATTATTTTTTCACTACTCACTTTCGCCTTACGGTGCCCACTTAGGGTCTTCACCAATAAGACTCTCTCCTTTTTTTTCACAGCTCACTTTCGCCTTATGGTGCCCACTTAGGGTCTTAACCAATAAGACTCTCTCATTTTTTTATTTTTTATTTTTCACTTTCGCCTTACGGTGCTCACTTAGGATCTTCACCAATAAGACTCTCTCATTTTTTATTTCATGAAAAAGAGTATGGTATCATCGTTCGTACCCTTGGCATACTTACTCTTGACATTTCAAAGGTTGATCCAAAGGTCTTTCTTTAATTGAAACACGACTTTTATACAAGGTTAGAAAGAAATGACAAGATGGAGGGTCAAATACGACTTTAAATGATGGGATTGACGTTAGCTTTGGGATAGAAAATAAATAAATAAAAATAAAAAATAAAAAATGACTTTTGCCCCAGTTTTTGCAAATATGGAATTTTGGATTTTTTATTTGGTTAGACCGAACCCAATGCCAGGGTTGCTTACCTATCTTGCCAAAACAAGAATTAGGTCAAACGTAGTTCATGTTGCTTGATTTTCTTCTCTTTTTTTTTCTTTTTTTCTTTTCTTTTTTTCTTTTCTTTTTTTCTTTTATATGGAAAAGCCAAGGATGCAAAAGAACCAAGAAAGTAAGGGTGAGAACATATGAATTAATACTTAGACACAGAACCAAGAATTTCCATTACATCAACCTTTGAAATGTCAAGTCCAAACATAAGGGTTTCTAATACCGAAAAATCACATCATATATAATAGGCAGAAGTACTCATTACCCCCCTGAACTTGAAGCTTTTTATACGGTGTACACCTAAACTAAATTCCGTTTTAATTACCCCCCCAAACTTGTTTATTCCTCCGTCGCGTACACCTTTTTCGTCCACCTACTCCTGTTGGGACTACACGCGCGCGTCAGCTGTCTAAATTGGTGATGTGGATTTCCACCTGGATAAATAATAGCCACCTGGATAAATTAATACTGCAATAAATAAATTTTTTAAATTTAAAATTCATAAAAGTGGTGATGTGGATTTCCACCTGGATAAATTAATATTGCAAAAAATAAATTTCTTAAATTTAAAATTCATTGTTTAAAAGTTATTTTTGAATAAGGGCTGATTTCGCGGAACTCCTTTTGGATTTGGGTTTTTCTAGACGTGAAGTTGGTCGATTAAATTTCAAATTTGTCTGAAATTCTTACCAAGTAAGTGTTAATCTTTGTTTCCTTTACTTTTCATTTACATTTTACCCTATTTTTCGTTTAAAATATGCCAAATATTAAAGAAAAATGGAGATTTTACGTTTTTTTTACCGTTGTAGCTTTGTGATGTGGCAAAAAATCACTTCCTCACGCGCCTAGTAGAGTGTGTTGTCAATTTCTACGCCAGGTGGACGAAAAAGGTGTACGCGGCAGAGGAATAAACAAGTTCGGGGGGGTAATTAAAACGGAATTTAGTTTAGGTGTACACCGTATAAAAGCTTCAAGTTCAGGGGGGTAATGAGTACTTTTGCCTATATAATATTCTGTCATTTTGCCTTCTATATCTGCTAAGTAAAGAGCACCATTGGATAATACCTTCTTTTCAATGAATGGTCCTTTCTAATTTGGAGAAGATTTGCCTTTGCCTTCAGCCTGGTGTGTCTCAACACTAATTGACCCTCTTTGAAATGTCTGGGACGCACCTTTTTGTTGTATGCTCATGCCATTCTTTTCTGGTACAATTGTCCATGGCATACTGATGTCAATCGCTTCTCATCAATCAAACTCAATTGCTCCAACCGTGTTCTGATCCACTCATCATCATCAATTTTAGCCTCTACAACAATCCGTAAGGACGGAATCTCAACCTCTGTAGGTATAACTGCCTCAGTCCTTTATACTAGCGAATAGGGGGTGGCACCCACTGACGTACGAACTGTAGTGCGATAACCCAACAAAGCAAAAGGCAACTTTTCATGCCATTGTCGAGAACCTTGCACCATTTTACGAAGTATCTTTTTTATATTTTTGTTAGCAACTTCTACAACCCCATTTGCTTTTGGGTGATACGGAGTCGAATTTCGATGCTCAATCTTAAATTGATGGCATACCTCTTGCATTAAACGACTGTTGAGATTTGCAGCATTATCGGTAATAATTACCTTTGGAATACCAAATCGACAGATGACGTTAAAATGAATGAAATCCACCACGAACTTCTTTGTCACTGACTTGAAAGTTATTGCTTCCACTCACTTTGTAAAATAATCAGTGGCCACCAGGATGAACCTATGACCATTCGATGCTTTTAATTCTATTGGTCCAATCACATCTATTCCTCATGCCACGAAAAGCCATGGAGCAGACATCGCATGCAACTCAGAGGGGGGAGAGTGTATCAAATCACCGTGTATTTGACATTCATGACATTTACAAACAAATTGGATGGAATCCCGCTCCATGGTGAGCCAATAATAACCTGCTAGAAGTATTTTCTTGGCTAGAACATATCCATTCATGTGAGGTCCACAAACTCTCGAGTGTACTTCAATCATGATTGTTGAAGCCTTTTTAGCATTTACACATCTTAGAAGACCCAAATCAGGTGTTTTCTTGTACAATATGCCTCCGCTTAAGAAAAACCCGCTAGCTAGTCGCCGAATAGTTCTTTTTTGATTACTAGTTGCATCCGACGGACATTCTTCAGACTGAAGATATGTTTTAATATCATGGAACCAAGGTTTACCATCAAATTCCTCCTCAACCATGTTGCAATAAGCATGTTGACCACGAATTTGTATATATAAAGGATCGATATGAGCGTCATCAGGATGTTGGAGCATCGAAGATAAAGTGGCCAATGCATCTACAATCTCATTGTGAACTCTAGGAATGTGTCTAAACCTTATCGACACGAATCGTTGACAGAGATCTTGTAAACAATGTTGATATGGTATGAGCTTTGGGTCACGAGTTTCCCATTCTCCTTGAATTTGATGAACTAGCAAGTCTGAGTCTCCTAACACTAACAGTTCTTGGATGCCCATGTTAGTAGCTAACCTCAAATCCAAAATGCAAGCTTCATACTCTGACATATTATTAGTACAATAGAACTAAGTTGGGTTGTTATAGGGTAATATTCCCCTGATTCAGACATAAGAACAGCTCCTATTCCAACTCCTTTTTTGTTAGAGGCACCGTCAAAGAACAACTTTCATCCTTGATTGTTATCGTGAATAACTTCATCGATACAAGATATTTCTTCGTCTGGAAAATAGGTCTTAAGTGGTTCTTATTCTTCATCAATAGGGTTCTCTGCCAAATGATCTGCCAATGCTTGAGCTTTCATTGCGGTCCGCGTCACATAGATAATGTCAAAAACTCTGTGAGTAATATTTTCCATTTCGCAAGCCTGTCCGTGGGCATGGGCTTTTGAAAAATATATTTTAACGGATCCATACGAGAAATGAGATAGGTAGTATAAGATGAAAGATAATGCTTCAACTTCTGTGCTACCCAAGTTAGGGCACAACACGTTCTTTCAAGAAGGGTGTACTTTGATTCATAAACGGTAAATTTCTTGCTGAGGTAATAAATGACCTGCTCTTTCTTCCCAGTGCCATCATGCTGACCCAATACACAGCCAAAAGAATTATCTAGTACTGACATATATAATATCAATGGTCTACCTGGTTTGGGAGGAACCAACACAGGGGGATTCGATAAGTAATTCTTAATTCTTTCAAAAGCCTCTCGACATTCTTCGGTCCATTCAACTGTGGCATTCTTTTTTAACAACTTTAAAAATGGGCTCGCAAAGTTTTTGTGAGTTTGAGCAATGAATCTACTGATGTAGTTTAACCTTCATAGAATGCTCATAACCTCAGTTTTGTTCTTTGCAGGTGGCAATTCCTGAATGGCTTTTATTTTTGAAGGATCAAACTCGATACCTCGTCGACTGACTATAAACCCCAAAAGTTTTCCTGATGATACTCCAAATACACATTTTGCAGGATTAAGCTTGAGATTATACATGCGGAGCCTTTCGAAGAATCTTCTTAAATCTTGTACATGATTTGACTGTTTTTTGATTTAATGATCACATCGTCCACATAAACTTCGATTTCTTTATGCATCATATCATGAAACATGGTTGTCATTGCCTTCATATAAGTTGCCCCTGCATTTTTTAACCCAAAAGGCATAACCCGATAACAATATGTACCCCATGGAGTGATGAAATATTTTTTTTCTACATCTTCATCATCCATAATAATCTGATGATAACCCACATAGCAATCCACAAAAGATGAATCTCATGTTTAGCACAATTATCCAACAAAATATGAATGTTGGGCAAAGGAAAGTCATCTTTTGGACTTGCTTTGTTCAAATCACGATAATCAATACACATTCGAACTTTGCTGTCTTTCTTAGGGACATGTATAATGTTGGCTAACCAAGAAGGATATTGAGCGACTCGAATGACTTCGGCCTCAAGTTGTTTTGTGATTTCCTCTTTAATTATTACACTCATGTCAGTTTTAAGCTTTCTCAGCTTTTGCTTTATCGGAGGGAACTTAGGATCAATCAGCAACCTGTGAACCACCATGTCAGTGCTTAATCCAGGCATGTCATCATAAGATGACGCAAAAACATTCTTGTAATAAAAAAGAGCCTGGATTATAACCTCATTTTGATGTCGAGCATGTACACTTATCTTAGTCTCCTTAATATTTTCATGATCCCCTAATTTTATCGTCTCAGTTTCACTCATGTTTGGGTTTGATTTATTCTCAAAATGTTTGAAATCCCTGCTTACTTATTCAAATACTTTGTCTTCATCATATTTGATTTCTTGACTTATTATTTCAGGATTAGGTCGAAGATTAGATTGGATTTTAAGATCTAGCGAAAAATTCTGCATATATGTCATATCACTAGAATAGGAATAGAAAGAACTGTATAGAAGAAAACAAATAAATATATTAGACTTAAATAAAAACACCATTACATCCTATTGAAAAGGAAAATAGAGAGCTTGAAATAAAACGACAAGACAAAATCTTAATTATAACCCTTGAATAAATCGGATAGCAGAGAGAAAAAGAAGACAGACTACCAAGACTCATTCTTAATGGGAAGAGGAATGGCCTCCCAATTGTTCAGCTGGACATCAGGACCAATGAATTGCACATCTCTGTCGCTAGTGCCTTCTCCGAGTTCAACCATATCAGCCTCGACAAATAAATCTTGAAAATAGTTGATCAATTCTTCGTGAACCTCCAGCACTGGCTCTGGATGTGGTGACTCAAAAGATTCTGTTATGTGGGATTTGATGAAAGATTTGTATATGGGTGGTATAGGCTTGGTAAGTGACCATACATCTCTCTTCTACTTCTTGGCCTTCATTTTGTCCTCGACTCTGGGCTTGTATCCTAAGCCAAAAGTACCAAGGCTCTTTTGTGGACTCACAGGATAAGCTCTCCCTTGCAAGAAGATCCCCAAGCCTTTACCTGGTTCAAACCTATGCTTCAACATTTCATTTACCATCATCACGGACGCCATGGGCAGTTGTGGTTTTGAAATGAGATTTCCTTCGAGGATATGCTCAACAACCACTACCTCAAAAGCTTAATAAACCAGTGCCTCATTCTCATTATTCGCCTTGATAAAAGGGAGGGAAGAGTCTTTGTAGACTGACAGATCCCCCTCACCATGAACAATCACCTCTTGTCGATCGTATACAAACTTAATCATTTGATGCAACGTAGAGGGGACTGCCCCAACCCTATTCACCCATGGTCTCCCCAACAATAGATTGTAGGATACATTGATATTCAGCACTTGAAAATTCACGGTGAAATCAACAGGCCCTATTTTTAGTACGAGCTCTATCTCCCCAATGGCATATATTTTTTACCCATCAAAATTTCTAACACATACGTTGTTGGGTCGTACCCTTTTGACACTAACATTCAATTTTTGTAGAGTCGATAAGGGACAGATATTTGCTCCAGATCCTCCGTCAATTAGAACTCGAGTGACATATGAAAGCTCACACTTTACAGTGCTATGAAGGCCTTGGTTATGTCTCGTACCCTCCATGGGTAGTTCATCATCTGAAAAGGTGATGCGGTTTACCTCAAAGATTCTCCCAACAATTTTCTCTAACTGACTCACTATAACTTCATTAGGAACATGTGCTTCATTCAGAATCTTCATTACAGTTTTACGATGTTCATTTGAATGTATTAAAAAAGACAACAAAGAGATTTGGGCTGGGGTTTTCCTTAACTGTTCCACAATGGAGTAGTCTGACAATTTCATCTTCCTTAAGAACTCCTCCGCCTCCCCTTCAGTGACTGGACTCTTAACTTGCATTTGGTCATTTTTATTTTTCCTTAATTCAGCTGGGGCTTAGCATCTTCCCGAACGGGTAATTCCTCCTACTTCATCTACTTCTTCATTGAATTTTTTCCCTTTGTATGTCACGATGGTGGGCTCATAATTCCAAGGGACAGCCTTGGGATTAGTCATTGGAAGTTGGGACACTGGCCTAATGATCACAGGTGGAATATGGGCTCCTTGCACGACCAAGATAGGCTTGTTTGGCCCTCTTGGAATAACCAAACTTGCCTCTCTTTGACTTGCCCAAACATCTTCAAGCGCTCCTTTCACAGTTAGGATGTGGGTGTTTGATGGGTTCAACCTTTCCGACCTCCTTTCTGCCCTTGAAGGCATCGTTTTTGTCAAGTCAACAACATTCGCCGAATTTTCTATGCCAGTTCCAACCTTAAGGATTGGCTTGTATGGGACTGCAACTTCTTCGCAACCATTCATCATTTCTAACATGTTTGTTTCAGTATGCCTGGGCAATGGATTTTGATTGATGTTTGATCTATTTGGGCTTTCAACTATAATTCGATGAGTATCGATCAAATCTTGAATTGCCTTTTTCAAGTACCAACACCTCTCTATGTTGTGCCCTGGGGGATCAGAACAATAGGCGCAGTGTTGAGAATAATCTAGATTTCTTGGGGGAGGATTTGACATCTTTCTTTCAATAGGACTCAAAACATTCAACGTCCTTAATTTTTTAAACAAGCTAGCATATGATTCTCCAATAGGGGTGAATTCATCCTTAGCTCCATTTCCCCTCTTGTATTCTTTTCTAGGACGAAAAGGAAGTCTAACAGTATTTTGGTGAATTTGTGGGGGTGGTGGATGATTTTGAGGAATTGGGGCACATCATTGCGGATAAGAAGGGGAGACAATTGGATGTGCGCTGAAAATGGGATATGGAGAGTATGGGATGGGATATTGTGGAGTTTGGGGAGGAAAATAGTGTTGCGGGGGTTTATCTTGGACATAGGTCTGAGGCGCTGATACAACCGTAGCTACATCCTCCCTTCTCTTCTTCCCTCCAATATTTCCAGGACCATTTTGAAGCACTTGTGTTGTGGCTTTTAAGGCAACTTGGCTTACAATCTTTCAAGACTTGATCCCATTTTCCACCATTTCCCCAACCTTAATAACTTCAGTGAATGTCTTCCCGACGGCAGAAAGCAAGTAGTGAAAGTAATCAGGTTCTTGCGCTTGGAGAAAAACGTCAATCATCTCTGACTCCTTCATTGGTGGTTTAACCCTAGCAGCTTGCTCCCTCCATCTAACGGCATATTCACGAAAAAAATTTGTGGTCTTTTTTCTCGTGTTGGCTAATAAGGAGCGGTCTGGCACAATGTAAATATTATATTGGAATTGTTGCACAAAACATCGAGCCAAATCATCCCATGTATGCCAGTTGACAATATCCTGATCTATGAACCATTCGGATGCAATTCCCACTAGGCTTTCCCCAAAATAGGCCATAAGCAACTCTTCTTTGCCCTATGCACCCCTCAGTTGATTGCAACATCTCTTCAAATGAGCTATAGGGTCTCTGTGACCATCGTATTTCTCAAACATTGGAGTTTTAAAACCAACAGGCAAATGGACGTGGGGAAACATGCACAAATCGCTGAATAAAATGCCTTTGTGGCCCCCTAGTCCCCACATATCTCTTAAACTCTATTCCAAACTCTTCATTTTCTTA